GAGAGCTGAAAGGATCAGACAAACATATGGTTACACTTTTATTGGAAAACACTAATCAGAACCTGCATGTAAAACAATCATGACATGGCACACTGTATATGTTTTTGCATAATTGATGCTGAGTTTAGATGAAAATACTGTGGGGAATGGCTGTGAGATGTATACATCTCCAGACAACATATATGAGGGATTACTTCTAATTTTGCCCCGTAGGGTGCTGACTTGCATGTTCTTTGCCTGGTACAGAAACCCCATCATCAATGTAGCAGTTCCCGATGTGCCATCAATAAGGCAATAAACAGATGGAATTTTATTCCCACTAGTCATTGATAACAAATATCTTACAGGCATAAGGAAATGCACCAAGAACATAAAGCTCTCATTATAATAAGCTTTGCAAAGCTTGAGAGAGCAGGTGTTATTTCCCAGTGGAGCTCTGACAGGAAAAAAAAAAAAAAAAACATGTATGTGTCGGCTCATATGGAGAGTTGTATACAAAGTGCTGTGCTACTGTTGTAGTCTGAGCTTTAACCTTCAGTGGTAAAAAAAGGCACCATATAGGCTACATGAGGTACATGAGCAAGTACAGCTTTTGCACATAGAAAAACTACTAGTGTGTTATTTTGACATAGTGTTGTTCTTCAAATATGCAAGTGATACAAGAAATCATTCAGAGAAAGGGTATTAACTCTTAATGCTCCTTAATCTTTGTCTTCAACAGCACATTGCAACATGTACCCACTGCACATCATTACACAGAAGCATGATGCAGAATAATGACGGTGATTTGTGGAAGTGTGGACAGAAACATTAGTGTTTATCTCATTATGATAAAGGAGCTTAGTGCTAATTAAAGTATTCAGTATCTTCCTTAAGCACGCTGCTGTTTGCTACCTCTTTTGCATGATCAAGACCATAAGAGGTGAACGGCAAATTAGAGGTGTGTATCATCCACAAATGACATGCAAACGCTACTGTACATCCTCTGGTAGAATGTGATGCATATATCTTTTACAGTTTTTTGAAATGTTGCAATAAATTGTGACTCATCATGAGAACGGGCTGGAACCCAGCCTCATGCCCCCTCACTCAAATCTGCCAGGAACTCTTTCAAAATAAAATAACTTACAACTTTCAACAGATGGAGACACAAGTGCTTGAAAATGTGTCTGATGAAAAATGAGATTAAATGTTGTAATCTCAGCGACAACACATGCATTATTTATTTAATACAAAGGGATTGTGGGTTGGCTAGGCTTTCACAGTCTTTATATTCTCAGTGTAAAACACAATGTGTAATTTGTAACATAATACCCCCTCAAGGTAAAAACCAAACTGAAATGCTTGTGTGAGTGATACTTTTAATTGAATCTTATGAATTAATTAATTAAGAGTGTTGTGGGAGCTCATTAGTATGAAAACTGAACATTTTAAACTCTGCTTTTTCATGATATAGCAGAAACATAACAACACACGTGCATACTGGGATTACAGTATGTTTAATATGACATGATCGGTTACGTGCACAAGTCTTCTGTGACTTTTCTATATCTTTTTCAGAGACAGGCAAAAAATTTGAATTGACCTTTGTCAGGTTTAACACATCCAATACTGAGCTCGTTAAACCTTATAGAATCTTTCCATGTATTGGTTCACATAATAGATTTGTCAACCAGTAATAGATTTTTAAAATAACCAATCACTCAGTATTCATATTTTAACACAAACAAGAAAAATAATCAAACATTTTCCTTAAAGAGCTGTTTATTTATTTTATTTACATTTATTTATTAAAGAACTGTGACCAACATGTATATTATGCTGGTATCACTTTTGAAAAACAGACATGTAATCGCTCTCTTTTGGATAAATTATGTAATGGCAAACACTGTTCATGTCCAGATATCTTTAAACATAAGTCAAACATCTGTACTGTCATTTCTTGATACTTTTTGGCTGAAATATGTGCTAATAGCAGTATATCAATGATAAGTTCTTATTTAGCTGATTATCAGTCAGGCTGCAGTACATTTCACCATCCAAGCAGACGCGAATATTCACAAAGTGTTTAGACCCCTTTACTTTTTTTCACATTTCGCTGTGTTGCAGTGCTGGAATCGTTTAATTTTTTTCCCCCTCATCAATCTACACTCAATATCCTGTAACAACAACGTGAAAACAGAATTTTAAACATTTGTCCCAAATGTATTATTAAAAAGGAAAAACTGAAATATCACATTGACATAAGTATTCAGACCCTTTACTGTGACACTTCAAATTTAGCTCAGGCTCCTCCCACTGCTCTTGATCATCTTTGAGACAGCATTGTGTGGAATCACAGATCTGGGGAAGGCTATGAAAGATTTCTGCTGCACTGAAGGTTCCCAAGAGCGCAGCTGCCTCCATAATTCTTACATGGAAGAAGTGTGGAACAACCAGAACTATACCTAGAGCTGGCTCTCTGGCCAAACTGAGCAATCGGGGGTTAAAGAGTCTTGGTAAGAGAAGTGACCAAGAACCTGACGGTCACTCTGGCTGAGCTCCAGAGATCCGGTGTGGAGATGGGAGACACTTCCAGAATTATTGATTCATAAAGTTGCAACAAAAAAGAACATGAGAAAAGTGAAAGGGTCCGAATACTTTCTGAATGCACTGTAACAGGATTATCAATTCAAAGTGGGAATCAAAGTCATTCAGTTGTTAAGAAGCTCTTTTATAAGTGTTGAAATATAACATCAATAGCCTCAATAACACAAAAGCCACATTATATCAAAAATTTAAATTTTTTTTTATCAGGATCATGTAGTGTAGTTCAGTATTTATTGCTTGAGTCACGAAAAGATTGCTACAGCACATGCTCTGATCCTTTGAGCAGCACTTCATCTCCTGAAGTGGACCATTTATATAAAGCATTCAGCCTTCACGACTGCTGTCATTCAGGCCCATCCTGAAATGGATTGTGCACCAAGTGTGTCTGGATTAGTTGTTTTTCGATCAGTGAGGAGGATTAAATGCTATCAGTGACAGGTTAATGCATATTAATGTATTTCAGCTTAGCTTAAACTTTTGTCTTTTGCTTTGTTTTGATTCTCTCTTTGCACTTTGCAGGCTTGAACTTACGAATCTTGTGTTGTTTTCAGTGCAAACTAGAATGAAATTTAAAGATAAAAACACTCGGGTATGAAGTACAGCTGGTGACCTGGTTGAATCTGGCAAAAGCACACAATTGGGCATTTTAAATGATACAAAGCACAGAGGCAGCATGCAGAGTCCCAGAGGTAAATGATCGTGCTCCTCTGAATTACAGATCTATGTCAGCAACCTCTGCTTTTTGCTGAACCCACATGGTCAATAAATTCTTGCTGTTTAAAAGGCACATGAGTGGAATTCTACTCTCAAAGATCTAATGAAACGACCAAGAATTGACCTTCAGGATACATGGGATTGATTCTTTACCACCATGCTCATGGTAATTAGCTTTGTATGGTTCTGCTCTGAATTATAAGTGAGTTGTATAGAGACTGTATGTCACACAAGAATGCCCAGACCTTCAAGGTTTACAGTTCAGAAAGGAAACAATGGCTCCACAGGGATTAGAGATGTGCATGGTTCCAAGTTGAAAGGCTAAAACGCAGCATCAGCATTCAGAAGTGAATGACTTAAAGGTCCCCATTTGAACCATTCTGATTAGAAGCTGTAATGGATTAAAATGTGCTGAAAAACGCCGCATTAATTTCTTGTTTGGCAATGAAAATTAGTGATGCAACTGATTGCTTGTTTAGATAATGAATGGTGGAGCTTCACATGTCATTTACATTTATTCCTGCTGAGAGAGAGAGAAAGAGAAAAGCCAATGATTTAAAAGGCTGGAATATATTTTTAGCACCACAGCGTTTTTCTCAGGTGGTATGGCCAGGTCAGCATTTTGATTTGAAGTGGGAGTGGCACGGAAGGCCACTGTGCAAAATTGAACCAAATTCACCCGGCAGCATGTTAAACCATGTGTAAAATCCTCACGATGGGCTTAGAAAACGATCCCTGGCTGGAGCCGCTGCCTTCCCCCCACCTCTGTCTTTAGGGATGGTCACACTCATTTCTGTGCACCACTCACAGGAACCTTTGAAGGAAGAGGGATGTCTAGGAGCCCATTAACCTCCCCTGCGCCTGTGCACTGATTCCTGACACACACCCAGACACCAGGTCACAACCTCTTGGAAAGCAACCGCCTTTTCACACAACATGGGCTAGGTCTTTCTTTTGTTACTGCACACTGTCCTCCTTTTTTTATTGCATTTCCACGTTTCCAAGACAGACACTCAGCATGCGCTGCAAAAATTTTCAAAGTGACAATAAGTGTCGATTTTTGCAGTGACACTTATTTGGAGTTGTTTAGTGTTGACTGCGGGCTTGTGTTTGTCTGCTCATAAAGCTGTTATGGCTCAGGGGCGGTGTGTTCAAAGTGTCTAAAAGTGTTAAATTAACTCTGCTAGCTGTGGGCATATTTTAATACTTTAAATCAGTGGCATGGTGATTTTTGCACTCTCACAGTTAAGACACACGCTGACAGTACGCGTGAGGTAGGGAGCAGCATCTTGTCTTCCTTTTAGAGCCTTAGTAGGAGGTCTGTGGTGCCCAACACTGGCTCCTTCCGACCTTACAGATCTTAGACTTAATGATATTTTTTTACGATGGGCCTCAACTATCGGTATATTCCTGCAGAAGCCTATTGTCTCCAAATGGCTGTTAAGGCAGTAACCCCCTAAGGCACACGGTGTAATTGTTTTGACAGTTTACCAGAGATCAGAACTATTTCTAGGTGTTCTCCATTGGTGAAGCGTCTTCATTAGTCAAAAAGCGTGGGCGGGACTCTTGCTCTCTGCAGCGAGTCAAAGAGAAAGGCAATAAAGGGAGGCAGGAGCTGCACTTTGCCGACGAGCATCTCTGCCGTCCTGCTTCACTACAGTAATCACTGCCCCCGGATCTGCGAAAAATACACAGGGACTCCTCTGGAAAAGGCAGAGTTCATCAATGTAACTCCGGTCAGTCCGAAACTGCGCCGTTTACCTGGATAAGTCCATCCCGACGAGAAGAGAGAGAGAGAGAGAGAGAGAGAGAGAGAGAGAAAGAGAGAGAGAAAGACAAGAGACTAACCGAGTGGAGTGTCGACGTCAAATTGTGAAGGAAAAGAGAAGAATATGATTGTCCAGCAGCACTTGATCTTCATCCTTTACAGCCTCTGTGCAAGCGTCTTTAAAGGTGAGCGCTGGATGTTGCCGTATATAGACGGGCGTGGTGTGCGGGGAGGTGGTGGCTGCGTTAAGTGGAAAGATCAAATGTGATCATGTCACATGTGAGTTCAAGTATTCGGTGCAAAGAGAGTTGATTTTCCTTTCAAATGATGTGTGTTAGCGCAGCAGTTGTGGCCGGAGCACGGCTGTCGTTGTCTGCTGTCAGAGCCGACTGTGCTGGAATGCCTGGAAGTTGATTGTGCGGCGCAATGAAAAGCAGAATGCGGCTGCACAAGTTTTTTGTATCGGAGACAACTTGGATGTTGCCCTCCCTTTGGTATTAAGTGACAGATAAGACATCGGGCTGCAGATGAGTCGGGTGTATAGTCGCCTCCCGTTTGTTCTGTTCATCCAGTTAATGTCCCCTGAAGCTGACACAGGGATGCACGAAAGGTTACGGCAGCTGGCGGCGTGCGTCCTGTTTGTTGGGAGACCGGTGTCATTGAGCGGATCATTTTTAAGTCATACTGTCGCGTCTCTTTGGGCCTTTTAAGTAATTTCACGCATGACTTTAAACCGGTGGTTTTTGCAGAGGTGACTGCATTTGAGTTGAGCTTTTGTCTCCAGCACAGCCAGTTAGCGCACTGGGTTTAAGTGCAGGCAGAATAGTGTGTGGTGCTGCGTGTTTGTGTGTGTGTGTGTGTGTGTGTGTGTGTGGACGTCCTCCTCAAGAGGGTCGGTATGCATTACTGACCGTGCAAGCCATGTAGTCGCTCAATGAAAGTTGTGCTGCCGGGATCAGACGCAGGTAAGGTTGTATGTGCGATGGCTCTCTGCAGCCAGGCATCAGTGTCTCCTCATGTCAACTCCCCCAACTCCCCACAGACTGTCCCGCTCTTGGACATGCTTGCGCAGCCACCGCCCTGTAGGCGACCAGTGCGCAGATACATAACGCTTACAGCGGGGGAGGGGGGTGGGGGGGCTGTAAAAAACAAAAAAACAAAAAACACACACACAAAAAAAAAAATCCCCACCGATCCCAACTTAATAAGATTTTGTCCCACAAGACATCAGGAGGAAGATGTTTTGGACACTGCTGATTCCGTGTACTGTAGTGAAGAGATGGCCTATCAGAGTCATCATTCCTATATGGTTCAGAGTTAATCTAAACTACTTCTGTTTTAGGACACCTCAAGTCAGAGTCTCTATAGGACTGCTCATGTAGTTTTCACATTGCATCATCACACATCGAACATCAACTGACTCTTATTTCAGTCTCAGATTTTGTCAGGAACATCACCACCAATAGCCACATGTCAAATACTTAATAGTCCAAGTGTCAGACTCAAGAAAAAGCACGCCGGGGCTCAGTTAACCTCAAACGTTAGGCACGGCAATGGTGATAAATCTTATCACACTGACTTGTACATTTCTCTGTAAGTTGCAAAACCAAATTTTATTTTAAATTTTTTTTGCCTTAGTGACTGTTGCTATTGGCAGTCTTGCTGTAAGTTTCCACCCCGCACATTTGTTTCATCTCACTGAGCTGCCCAACTTCAGATGCCATCAGGTGGTGTAAATCCAGCTGTGATGTGACAGCACATCCAGCCACATCCAGCCACATCCAACCACATCCACCTCACATCATGCCCTCTCAAGATGTGGCCCCTGTGGAGTCAGTTACATATCCATGCATGATTTTGCATGATTTAGGGCCCATTAGCTACAAATTGTGTTACATAACTTCTAATCTTTTGCTGTTCTTTGGAAAAAAAACATCACATCTTTTTATTATTATTTATTTCCTATCACCCAGGCAGCCATTAGTGTCAGTCCATGTCAGTATTGTATGAGCACGAGCTTTCAGTGACATTGCTAAAGTTTTCACGTCACCTGGTATTGCAGGCGGGGACCACTGTGAAAACCTTTTGCTGGTGCATTCAGGGATACTCCATTACCTGGAATCTGAGAAATGACCTCCAGTAAGAGTTACATTCATGGGCTTTGTTGTAGTTAAGGCAATACACAACAGACAGTAAATGCCGACAATGTTAAAAAGCTGTGAATGTGAATTTTTGTAGAATCCTGCATTTAAAATTTGTTGTTTGCTTGAAGTGTAAATATTCAGAGTAATTGATGATATATTTAAAAACTGTTTATACCTAAATGTCAGATGCAAATCTGAAATGCAAAACATTCAATCGGAGATTCCATTATTGCAGGTTTAAAATGGTTTACGCTTACAATGGACAACATAGTTTAATCACTTCACCCTCTTTATGTCTTGTAGAGGATATTATACATTGTTGCATTATATTCCTTTTTCAATATTTGATTGTACCAGATGGCTGTGATCAAAAATGATATTTTTTTCTGCCCAAGAGTCCATCTATAAATACTGTAACATGGGCAGCAAGAGCTTAGAACGTGCAAAGACTAGCGTATGGTTTTGTTGCTTTAAAACTATTAGCATCAATGGCTAACACAGCAGTGGTAACAGTGGTGAGAATAGAAACGGACAGCAGAAAGCTAGCCAATTTTTGCTACAGATTTTGGGTCCATGACATCCTACCAGAGAGAACAGGGCATAGAGACTTTTATCATCTTGTCCAAGAGCTGTGCTAAGATAGTGCCCACTTCAAGGGCTACTTGAAATATTTATGCTATGTGGCTTAACCATAGACGCATGAGCTAGGGGCGCCCAGGGTAGTGCCCTAAAAGTCTGTGTCTAAGAAATGCAAGCACTTACTTTGAAGAAGATGCGAGCAGTCAAACAATGAATGAAACCAATAAAACTAGAAAGCCCTCAGAGAGCACACACCACTACCAAGTCTACACAATGCTCCATATTTGTTATCAAAATGGTCAGAATTTTTTTTCATCTGCATTGGGATCAAGTTCCGTTCCTAAATACACAGACATGGGCAATTATTGGATGCATGTGCCGGACTTTTTTCCGTTCAAGTAAGAGCGGTATATTTTGGCAAATATTCAAAGAATTCCCTATCTTTGCAATGTTAACAAGTCATTTTAATAAACGGCTGATGTGCATCTCGATCTTTGCACTAAGCCACGGCTTAACCTTTCATCAAATTCAATTAAAATCTTTACACAGTTTGCGAGATATCATGCTAGCTAACAGACAAACAAACCAACAAATGAGACAGCAAACATAACCTCCTCAGTGTAGATAATAAGGTGCATGCATCTTCTGTGTGATCACAGCCTAATCAACAGTTAAATTGCAGTGCGCCACATCACACACTGCAGTGATATTGTAGACAAGACTTCAGCCTCAGCAGCTTTGTTCATGCTCCATAATGCTGAGTGTCATTTCATGCAGACTCATCCTTCTTAGCACAACTACATTATAGTATTTTGCTTAAATACATAGCTGGACTCTTATCTATAGCCGCAGCTATGGATTGCTACATTGCCTAAATGTTTAATATGCTGTAGTGACAGAATAGATGAATTCTTATGGAGAGGTACTGTACATGTATTGTCTCCTTTCGACTGTGCGTCCTGGCTTGTGCTCCTGCTCTGAGTGTGAGGTCCTGTTGTCCCATATGTGCATCAGTGGGAACGTATGTCACTCTGACGTGTTGGTGTGTCACCACACCAGAGTCATCGCAACATATTTCACCAAACGCAGCTAATGCAGACACCTGACAGGCTTGTCAGAGCCAGTTAACAGGTAAGGTGGCAGACTGGCTAGTAATGCTAATTAGCCATGTGGCGCGGCTATACGGCGTTGGTTTGCAGACCTGCGGGCTGGTTGTGTCAGTGATGTAAGTTTTGTGATCTGTACGTTTCTTTGTGGGCCACAGCTTCTCTGGTTTGGGCTGACATTCCTTCTGCTAAAGTGTTTCATCACTTTCCTTCTTACAGAGCCCAGAAAGCTCCCATACCGCCAAGGGAACTTTTCTTTTGTTTGAGCATGGAGCCTTTCATCATTTTCTTATCTCGTCAGACATTTTGGCAAGTACAACCTGCAGGTGACATTTGAGCATTGGTGTGTGTTTGACCATAACGTGTGGGGGCAGTAATGAGGGCAAAGCGGAGAATAAATGAAAGTGGCTCCTTTTTTTTTTTTTTTTTTTCTCCAGCATTAATCTGGTATCCAAAACACGGACATCAAAACTATAGACAAAAGGAGACAAGGTTGAGGATGAATAATTCCCTCATAATGTAAATGAAACATTTCTTCCTTGATTATGGAGGGAAATGAGGCTAGTCATTAAAAATGCAAACGTGTCTTGTACAATGTTTGATATTTCTTTAAAATATTGGCCTAAGCCAATAGAAGAAGACTCTTACTGTGAGTATTGATTTGAAAACGTGAACATATTGTGAACGGTAGAACAGGATGCCTAGCTCATGTAAATACATGAGACAAATTGTCATCCAAACAATATAGAGTAATTATTGAAAAGTTAAATCACAAACATCTTAATCATCAAAACATATGAGAAAGTGTCTCATCATGTAACTCTACATTTGAAAGAACACTGTACAAACTGATGATTCTTTGGGCATTTTATATTCAGAAAGTAGTGATATGTCTGTAACAACATTTTGGTGATTAGCAGTTGTTTATGATTCAGTGATGACATTTCTCGTGACAATATTACAGTGTTTTTATTTGCATCTTTTTTCAGGGACGCAATATTTGAAAGAAGGATGTGCTGGAATTGCAATCCAAAAGTCTTTCAAAAATAAGATTCATGTTATGCACAATACATGCATGCATATTAACGCATACATTGCATATTATTGAGTAGTTTGCATTATTTAAATGTTTTTCATTTGCATTCATCAGGATGGAAATTTCATCAAATAAGCAAGATAAACGGAATGTATTTGAACTTGACTCTGGTCTGTGTGCATATGGTTATGACTCTGTGTATTATGTCACAATTTTCAATCAGCTTGCACCAGACGACAAAATTAAACACAGCGGAATTTCAGAGGATCAGGATTAAAGTAATCAACTATCGGGCGCAGAAACCAAGTGGCCTATTACAG